TTTGAAAATGTCAGTGCTGATTCTGCCATCAATAATAGATTCTACTATATTTGGTCATTACGAATCACTCCCTCAAAATAAATCTTTATTTTCCTCACATAGGATAATAACATTTATACTCTGTTCACAGCTAGAGAAGGCTGCGATATTAGGGAGAATCGGTTGAGAACTCCTGAATGTTATTATTTCATCTCTCTATTCTATATATTGTATTTTTTATGGCTTTTTGGAATTACAATAAGAGAGTACTCTAGAGGCTATGTCCCTGAAAGTAGCTGTCAAAGGCCAGTCATTCAAGGTCCAAGCGATCAACCTAGGCTTCTCCCAAGTTTCGCTTATCAGTTCAACCCTCTTTCTACTTTATATAAATGAACTGCCTGTTTATTTGCGAATATCTGTGCTGATGTTTACAACGCTAAGTGGGTGCACGTCCAAACCTCTAGGTGACCAGGGCCTTGCAGTTGATCTCTTCCCTGATCTATCTCTTGAAGATCAGTGGCGAAACAATTGGCTGGTCACATTCATTTCATCGAAAACTAAACTGTGGGCATTCCGTAATCACCGAGGCGTACTTGATTTCATCGATCACGAAGAACAGGTGTTATCTCAGTGATATCCCGTGCCCGAAGCGCCTATAAGGATTTAAACTCAACTCGCACCTCAGGTAGAACTCGTACCTACGATCCATCGCTAAAAGATGTTTGAGAAATGGTAGGTGCGCTATAGTTATGTTTTACCATTGCAAGAGGCAGATCCGACCGAAAATGGGATACGGCTGAACTATATGGGCAGGAGATGTCAAGTCTTTACAGTCCAAAAGCGTTTCTGCGTCCTTGTGGGCGATGAATTATTTCCTCCACCAAAACCTTTTCCCACAGACGAAACATCGCAAGTCTATCGCTGCTCTGTCGCTATTTCCATGGAAAATGTTAAGAGGAATTAAATTCCTTAAATACACTAGTTGTATTGTAGTTAAATAAAACGTATTATAACCTAAACATCTCTCTCAAAGTACTACAAGCACTTAAAAGAATCCAATAAAACAGCTACAGTAAAATGAAATTAAAAAAAAAGCTAGAATATGTAGGCCATTAAATGACCCATGTCCTTTGTACATACATGAGAAACTATATATTACTAAGTTTATAAAAATAAAAGTTTACTGAATCAGAGAAATGATTTAGCTATTTTTTGCCGTAATTTTCAAAAACTATCCTTAAATTATATTTAAAAATAAAATTTAAAAATAAATGTGACCTGGAAATATACATACTTATACTTGATATGAAAAAATAATTTTATTTACTGTATTTAATTCTAGTACATTTACTTGTTTTAAAAGAAATATAGTCTATTAAAAATTAAAAGTGAAAATATTTTAAAATAGTAGTTAAATAAAACGTATTCTAACCTAAATATCCCCCAAAAATCTTTAAGTATACAAATAGGAAAAATGCCATGAGAATTTCATGCCGTTAACAATAAAATTTAAAAAAAAAACAGACAACATACATTTAACGGATATGAGAATTCGTTGAAAAATACATCGCTACCCCCACCTAAACATAACCCCATTTTCGAACGTAACTAATAACTGATACAACAAAAGTTAATAAAAATAAACACGCTAACACCCCTTGTCTGAATGACTGGATCTCTCTGTATCCTTGGAAACAGTGAATTATGAATTCTTCTATGCCTTTAAAACTCAGTAAATTTTAAAAAATAAGTTACACCAAAATTCGCTTGATGACGAAATGGAAATAATGTTTTTTAATTTAATTACAAAATTAAATTCGAGGCTTTAGCTTCCATTTCTGAAACATGCTTATTACTGTGTAGCGAAAAAACATATTTTAAATCAGTTAATTTATAATATTAATGCTCTGTAAATTTACATTGAGCACTATTTTGTAAAAATAAAAATATCAATAAGAACACTGGATTATATATCTTACTGTTATATATATATATATATATATATATATATATATATATATATATATATATATATATATATATATACACGTTTCATTAAATAATATAGACAAGTGTTGTCTATTTATTTTATATAAAATTTTTCGTATCTTCTGATAAGTTTGGTAACATTATCATTTACCGAAAAAGAAATTCACAATATTTATCCATTATTTTTAATAAAATCTAAGCTTTCGGCTTACTCAAGCCATTATCAAAGATGGAAATACAAACATATCAAATAATATATGGACACGACAGTGATGATATAGTCTGTCATTGTTATGTTTATATAGTGGATCACTAAGCAACGATGAACACGCGCATATAAGACACTAGAAGCGAAAATCGCACCGCATCTCATGACATCACACATGACTACACGAGAGTGAATTGGAGAATGAAATAAGGTAAGCCGTTGGTATAACCAATGGCTTCTGTTACCAATTATAGAAATTATAGACATTTAAGAATATTTGTAGAGATTCCATAGTTGATTTTGTTTAGGTTGGGTTTTAACTGTTTGATGTATAATGCTTCAAGTATTTTTTAGTTTTGTTTATTGTTTTCATGTCGAAGTATAGTTGTGTTTTCGACAAGTATTTTTACGGAATTGTGTGTGCGGGCAGGCATGTTGTTTTAAATGCCTAAAATGTTAGAGTTTTCATTAAGATGTAGTGTCAAGCGTCGTGAAAGCGAGTTTGTGGTGTGACCAACATAAATATTATTTAATTCGTTGGAGATACACTCTCCCAAAGGGCACTTGAATTTATAAACTATGTTGGTTTTTTGCAAATCGCTAACCGGGGAGAAGAATCATTGCAAGTATTAAGTTGGATATACTAGATTTAGTTTAGTATATGATTAATTTAATTTTTTTGCTAGGATCTGTAGTTGATATATTAGAATTTACTAAATTTTTTTAGTATGTGTTCATCTTGTTTATAATTAGTATGCATTTGATTACGATATAGAAGATTAATATATTTGAGATCAGTAGAAGCAGTATTATGTACAATTTGCTTATTATTGAGATTTCTAAGAAAGCATCTTATTTGTTCATCAACTATATAGTTTGGAAAGCTATTATTAATAAGTGTTTCGTGTCCATATATTATTTGATATGTTTGTATTTACATCTTTGATAATGGCTTGAGTAAGCCGAAAAGCTTAGATTTTATTAAAAAATAATGGATAAATATTGTGAATTTTTTTTTCGGTAAATGATAATGTTACCAAACTTATCAGAAGATGCGAAAAATTTTACATAAAATAAATAGACAACACTTGTCTATATTATTTAATGAAACGTATAAATGAAAAATATGCTGCCTAAATACACACAATATATATATATATATATATATATATATATATATATATATATATATATTTCAAAAGACGACTAACAAGGTACTGCGATGAAGCTTTTATTTATTTATTTTTGCTTGTTTTCGTACAAATGTTTTCTTTTTGGGCACAAAGCGTGAAAAAACTCTGCTTATCCAAGAGCTATCGGCTATTCTTTTACCCGTTATCAAGGTTGTTTTTATTTTTTTAACTGAAAGTGTATATGTGTGTGTTTTTTTTTTTTTTTTAATGTGTCTGAAATTATAGGAATGTTTTATTTTTTGCATTCTTTAAAATGAAAGATACCATTTCTGTAGTTGCAGTGTATTTGATTTTATTATTCTTTCTCCGGGCTCATGTAACAACCAAATATTCAAATTTGGATTCGTCTGTCTACAATACATTTGATTAAATTATGAATATTTTGTATGAGAAAAAGTATATTTTGCTTTCATCATTAAACTCTCAGAATATGTTTTGAGATTCTCAAAAGTGCTGGAGATTTAATTTAGGCCATTGGAATCATGAAAAAAGGAAAATATCATTCAATTATGCAAAGACATGTCATACTATTTGGCTTACGCATAATTGTACATATATTCACCATTTAACCAGACAACAATCCAAAACATTCTTCTAAATTTTATCAAATTTAGATCGAGTCGAAAAAGAACAACACTTTTGGAAATTATTCTCAATCTCTTTACTTCTTTTTCATTGAATTAGTGTTCTATCAAATGCATAATGAGCGTTTGAAAGAGTACCCAAAGAATTGAGTACTTAAAGAATATTGAGTACTTAAAGAATATTGAGTACTTAAAGAATATTGAGTACTTAAAGAATATATGGGAAGGTCTGCAATCAAATGTTTTCAAAAACTGTTGGAAAAAATGTTAAGAATTTCTAAAGCAGTAATCATGGCAGGTAGTTCTTTTATTAACAAAAATAAAATATGATGCTGTATGATAATTTCATAGGTGCGTACTTAGTTTTTTAAGAATAAATGAAAATACGTTATAATTACTGAAAATATGTATTGCAAGGTGCAAATTAAATAAATAAACAGATGCAAAGTAGCGCCATACTTTTTGTGCATGGTATATATATATATATATATATATATATATATATATATATATATATATATATATATATATATATATATATATATATATATATGTGAGATTTTTGTGTGTGTATATATACATACATATATATATATATATATATATATATATATATATATATATATGAGAAAAGAGACAGAGAGAAAGAGAGGAGAGACAAAGGGAGAGAAGAGAGAGACAGAAAAATAAATGCAGAGAATAAGGTGACACGGTACGTTGATTGTCAATTTCAGATCTCAATAAGGCTTTAAATTGAAGGGTTAACTCTTATCTCTGCCTTGTTTATATCTATATAAACTCTGTCTCTGATAGTGAACACACTTTCCCTATATATATACACACACACACACACACACACACACATATATATATATATATATATATATATATATATATATATATATACACTCGATATAATATGTGATGTGAGGGTTACATATTCTAAAAATTATTCATTTGATAATTATGTGGCTTCTATTTTTTCTTAAATCTGACAGAATTATTGTAAAATTCCACCAAACGAGGTTTCCTCTTTCTATTATTTACATAGATAGATAGATAGATAGATAGATAGACAGACAGCTTGAACGATGTCGTAAACAAATCATTTTTATTCAGTTTCTTTTGTCTGGCTTTTTTCTAACTATTTATTAATCATACCCATCCCCCTCCTTCTCCACCTCCTTCTTTCTCTCCTTCTTTTCTTCTTCTTCTCATTAACATTATTATTATTATTATTATTATTATTATTATTATTATTAAACTCAAATCGTATTCACCCAATCATGTTTTTGTTCTTTTATAGCGCTGCTCCATTTGCTACCATGTTCAGTTTGTCAATTCCCAGTCGTGGTCCTTATATTTCCAGATAAGTTGGTTGACATGAAAACTAAAATCTTAGTGTGGTTCTCTTTTTATATATTCTACGACTGCCTCTGGATTTTACTGATACTGTTGCATTCATAACCGAATTCAACGCGTTTACAAAATACCAAATGTATCACTGTATCCACCTTTTACTCACGCCGTTTTTAAGTTCTTTTTATCTAACTTGCCGCATCTTATTTCACTGTACTCTACAAATTCGTCTTATTATGGGTTACTTAGTTGTTCTTAGTGTACTACTACTACTACTACTACAAGTGCAACAACTTAGGCGTTATTACTTAAGTCTGTTTTCATTTGACGTGATGGTTTCTGCTCTGTGGCTTGTGTCGTGATTTCAATGGAACGTTTCTGCTTTATTTTGATTTCTTAGTAGACGTATGCGCATGCGCTCTAGATGAAATTTCTACTGCTGGTCTAGTTTACGTATTATTGTGATTAACCCGCGGCTTATTTGAATAAATCAATGTTGACTTGCTATTCTGTTGATTGCTATGCATTCCATGTGCAACGAATGACTGAGAAACGGAGAAACAATCAGGTTTGGCTTAAAGGGAAAGAAAAGACCGAGAAATAAATGCAGAAGCTGAACATGGAAAAAAGACTGAAATGGAAATAGTGAGGGGAGGATGTCTTTAGTGGGAGTAAGAAGACAGACTATACGCTAAAAGTAAGAAATATTTCGGGGGACGTAACTTGACAGAGACAGAAAATAAGAGAGAGAGAGAGAGAGAGAGAGAGAAAGAGAGAGAGTGGGGGTTAGTAGTAGACTGATGGAAGTAAAATTACAAACAGTTCTTTAAAAGAAGACAAGCGAATGACAAAACTAGAGGCGAAAATTGATAAAAATGTGATTATATGATTTCTTTTTTCTTTCTTTCTTCTGAATGAATAATATGATAAAATAATATTCGAAAAGAGGAAGATCAAAAATTGATGTCGGCGATATGAACATATAGAAAGACAGAAAGTTATAGTGATAAGGATTGTGATAAACACTGGGGAATAAAGCATTTGAGTTTTAAAAAGAAACACCTTCATGACATATCTATCTATCTATCTATCTATCTATGTATCTATCTCGCTATATATATATATATATATATATATATATATATATATATATATGTATGTATGTATATATATAATATTTTATCATTTCGATTTCTCTCTATATCTTCTGACAGTTTATCCACAACTTCGAGCAGAATACTCAGCACCTTATCCGAAATTTTGAAAAAAATTAATAAAACCTTAAACATGCCTCTGTCATTTTTCTTTTCAGTTAAACGTTTTTTTGCATATATATATATATATATATATATATATATATATATATATATATATAAATATAATGGAAACTACCGTCGGTTTTGACGTATGAAGATCTGACTGCTTAGTTGATTCAGTTATGAAACTTTGTGCGATAATCTTAGGTGGCACTTAACAACCGCTAGTTATTTAAAAAGGAGTCCAAATATGGATCAAAAGTGAGGTTTCTGAGATGAGAACACTTTTAGATTGGCTGACCTTCTAGATAGATCTTGCTTTCGCTTCTTGAAGATAAATCAAACAAGCAGATTGAAAACTGCTGAGTCCACTAAAACACGTTGATCTCCATTCTACTCGCTCCAAGTCTAAGTGCTCAAGGATATTATGTGGTATATTGACAACTGACAAGTTGCTTTTCAGCTTGTCTTTCTATGTTAGCCATGGGCGTCCTATATTTCTGTAGCCCTGATCTAACTGGTTGTACATTAGGATCATGGGCATCCCGTCATCAGACATCCTCAAGGCATGACCAGTCCACCGTATAATTATTTATTATTATAATTATTTATTTTATCATAAAATGAAAAAGCGTTATATCTTACTTAAGGATAATAATTTTATTGACAATAATGTATATATATTTAAAATTCAATATGGCCACCTTTTGGTTTTATCATAATTCTTAATCTTTTCTCAACTGAAGTGCATGTCTTCTTCACGACCTCTTCTCACAAACTGTTGTATAAGAGCTTCTTTTAGGTCTGACACATTTGAGTATTAGATACGTGAATCACTGCTCTTCAATATGGATCAAACCATATGATGGAGGTTAAATTGTCAAAAGGATAGACGAAAATATCTCTTGGAACAGTTCTGCATCAAATAGTCCCCGTGTGAAGAAGCTCACTTTAGAGTGAAGACATATTGACTTCCAAATGTAGCTGAAGACCATTTCAAAACACCTCTCTCAACATTTCCTAGTAAATTACTATTCTCGTTACTAAGAGTTTTAAAATCGATATCCCAAGTGCCTTTTGCCGTAGATTCAAGAATCGAAAATGTGCCATTTTCCACCACCACAACATGCTGCAAAATAGACCTTGCCAAATCTTACAGAGATGGAATGGGACCCCACCCTCCAGCAACCACCGTAATCTTGGTTTCTTTCATTTGTTCCGTTCTCTACAGAACAATTTAAGTGACAACAAATTTGACTTTCTATAGTCAGTCGAAAAGTACCTCACAATCTCCTAACAAAAACACGAAGTTTCTACCAAAATGGCATCAAACATCTTGTAGAATGATGGGAGACAGTTGATAAAAAATTTGAGACTATGTACTTGAATGAAAAATGACATTTGTGAGTATTTAGATTTTGTTTTAAATTTTCTGACTTTTGCAATGATCTGATAGATCTGAGAACATTGCGCTGAGAATATTGCACAAATAATAAACAGGTACAAGATAAATATATCCTAAAAATCACACACCCAAACTAAATATAGTTGTAACTGCATAGCAATGCACGAATGTTCCTTAAAATGCAACTGCCTGTAAAACAATATAATGTGCCAAGCCACAGTAAAAACAGGAAATTATGAAGATAAATATACATAGGTGCAATTGAACAATCCTGGAAACCGAGAACATACGCACACATAAATTTTGTTTTAAATTTTCTAACTTTTGCAATGATCTGATAGATATGGGTTCATATATAAACAATTTATTACTTAAGTTGAATCACATTACAATTATATACAGATTAGCGCTGATTGTTTTCAGTACGGTGCTGCGTATTCTAAGAACAGACCCTATGTGTTGCATATCTTTTAGATATATTATTGTAATGAATAATTTTCCTACGTTTGTTCTTACATTGATATTGCATGATGGGTTAAATAATATAATTTTCTGTTCATTTTTATACCGTGTCGCTTCCATGTGAATATTACTGAAGATGTTTTAAAACTGTTTCTTAACATTTTTGGCTTCATTGATGGACAACAAAATATCAGATAACCTAAGGTTAATTGATTGTGGTATCTGTTTAATTATTGTTGGTATTGCGGTTAGAAGATATGGTTAAAGCAGTTTGTCATTGGGTTTTCTATATGGCTGATATGTAACCTTTCTTGGTTAAGTGTAATGTATAGAGAATCTATTCCTCAAGGTTAGTTTATATATATATATATATATATATATATATATATATATATATATATATGTAAACTCTTACTTTATTGAAAACTTTGGCGATTATTACATATTACAAAGATTGTCCACAAAATATTTACGAGAAACATTGTAAATATATGCTATTTTTGCGCTGAGAACATTGCACAAATAGTAAAAAGGCACAAGACAAATATATCTTACACATCCCACGCCCAGTGTAACTGCATAGCAATGCACGAATATCCCTTAAATGGCAACTGCTTGTAAAACAATATAATATACCAAGCCACAGTAAAAACAGATTATGAAGATAAATGTGCATAGGTACAAGTGAACAATCCTGGAAACCGAGAACATACGATCACAAAACGTCATTTATTAATCGTAATTACGCGAACAGCATAACCCTTTCTAATCATATGTTGGAATTTAAAAACAACTTACACCAAAATATCATGGAAAATAAGGAAGACAACTCCAGCCTAAAAAAAACACAAATCCATATACTGTAAATTAAGTTTGGAGAAAGACATAGCTATTAATATCTGCATAGAACGATACAAATTACTAAATACAGTACACATTAGTACATATCTCAAAATACAGACACGTATACAATTTTTTACTTTGTTTAAAAAAAAATAGAAAACTGAAAATGAATACATTGGAAACGCAGATAACGTAATAGTGTCTGCACAAGACTTAGCATTTCGATTACAGTCACTTTCTCACCGACGTAACGTGTCTTCCCTCTGTCTTTTCTACAAATATTTCATGGCAACTGTTTGAACGATCTTTTTCCCTGATGACCCTACTACGTGAATATAAGCATGCAACTAGATTGGTATCTAGGTCCCAACATTTTACGGTTGAACTAGTTACATGCACTTCTACGCCAACAGTTTCTTTTCTCACACTTCACGGCTGTGGAACTCCCTTCTGTTTACTTGCTTCCATGATAACTACTATCTTCAAAAATTTAAATGCGACGTCAATTGCCACTTTCTGTCTCACTGAATCGCGTTCATCTTTTATCCTTTCCTTAATCCCTCCCCCTATACCCAGTCTTTTCTCTCACTTTCACTCTCTGTAACCCCCTTGCGTGTTAGTGACATTCTCGATTCGCTTGGGATGAAATGGTTAAAATTAGACATGAAAAAAAGAAAAAGAAAAAAATAACGAATTATACAAGAAACATTAATGAATGAATAAAATAATATTCACGTAAATATATAATAAACAAATTAACGAACTCTACGACTGCTCTCATGAC